GTTGAGGTAAAACATGAAAGATTTTTGCTCCAACGTCTATATTCTTTTATGAGAACATGAATTCAGTCCACTGTTTACAGGAGAGATGTAAATTTAAAAATACAATGAGAACAAAAGTTTTCCCCTCATACATGTATACCTTGACTTTCATCTATAATGATATGGAAAAAGTAAAAATACAAGAATAGTACAGAAGATTGAAGAAATCATAAATATGAATATATAAATGTAAGTAATTATCACCTGGTAATGTGTTCTGTCCACTTCTAATAACAGGCATTTCCCTGACGATATCTAAATCATCATCAGTTCTTGACATCCATCTATCAAAAGTAAACAGTAATTCTTCTTTGGATTTCCTGTCTCTCATTTTTACCTGTAATAAATTACATTTCGTGATAATTCACTTTTTACAATGAATTGATCCATAAATGTACTTTGTCCTTTCTAGTACAGATGAGACACCTAGTCTTATTTCTCTAACTCCATATTATGAAATATTAAACTCATTTGGCAGCAAAAATGTAATGGTTTTTGGTCTGTCCAAAGTGCTATATTTGCTCAATTAATAAATGACACATGTGGCAACGGTGAAAATAAGTTGCATTTTGAAGATTTTAAATTTAATGCTAGGTGATATACGTAATGAATTAAATGTTGATGGAAGGAAGAATGTGAACACACGTTACCTCTTTTAGATGCCATCCTTCCCAGTTGTCATTGTTTTCATGTCCAATACGTATCTTGTAAATCTGTCCTATACTTCCTACATTAATCTGTGCCCAAAAAAAAATCAAAGGAAGCTTAGAAAGAACAAACACATGCATATGTGTAACATGATGTAAATTTATGAATATGATTGGTCAAGGCATGTCACTCTGGAACGGTATTCATTAAAACAAAATAACCACCAGTCAGCTATTTTGAAAAAAATGTGTGAATGAATTTTGTCAATACACAACCAAGATCTTGATCCGGAATGATCAAGGTTCAATAATATCCAATGTATGTACAGAGTGGGAATGAAATTTGTCAATACACAACCAAGATCTTGATCCGGAATGATCAAGGTTCAATAATATCCAATGTATGTACAGAGTGGGAATGAAATTTGTCAATACACAACCAAGATCTTGATCCGGAATGATCAAGGTTCAATAATATCCAATGTATGTACAGAGTGTGAATTAATTTTGTCAATACACAACCAAGATCTTGATCCGGAATGATCAAGGTTCAATAATATCCAATGTATGTACAGAGTGTGAAAGAATTTTGTCAATACACTACCAAGATCTTGATCCGGAATGATCAAGGTTCAATAATATCCAATGTATGTACAGAGTGTGAATGAAATTTGTCAATACACTACCAAGATCTTGA